ATTTAAAAAAAAAAGATGGTGATGAATGAACGGTAAAACTCATTGAACGAATAGGGTATATTTAAAAATTGGAAAAAAAATATGGACTGCCTGCTTGAAGAGATGGTTGTAGAGCAGTGAGGCTGATGGCTGAGCCAGCACAAGATCATCAGTTCCTCGTGGTGGTTGGTCAGGTGGAAAGCGCAGCGGTCAAAGAACTAGCCATTTTGGTGCCAAGACTTCACTGTCCCATGGCAGAAGTAAAAATAGCTAGGGTGTTCATATAGCAAGCAAGAATTCCTCTTTCAAATTGCTTTCAGTCTTGGGGTGGAGTGGAATTGCTGGTTTTCAGTATGACGTAGGGTTCATCCTGTGAGTTGCAACTGATCTTTTCAGTAAATTTCGTCATTATGAGAACTTCAGCACATCAGAATTTTCCTTACCAAGACATGATTTGAACATGTTTAGCCTTGAGAAAAGAGGACAGAGGGGTGATATGGTAACACTTTTCAAATACTTGAACGGCTGCCCTACAGAGGAGGGGCAGGATCTGTTCTTGATCATCTCAGAGTGCAGGACACACAACAAGTTACAGGCTTGATCATCCCAGAGTGCAGGACACACAATGAGTTACAGGAAGGGCTCGAGCTACAGGAAGCCAGATTTCGATTGAATGTCAGGGGAAAAACTTCCTAACTGTTAGAGCAGTACAGCGGAACCCATGGCCTTGTTAGAGCAGTACAGCGATGGAACCCATGGCCTTAAGAGGTGGTGATTGCTCCAATGCCGGGGGCATTCAAGAGAAACTTAGACAAACACCTGGCCAATATCCTTTGATTATATTCCTGTGTCGAGCAGGGGGTTGGACTTGATGGCCTTAACGACCCCTTCCAACTTCACTATTCTATGATTCTATGCATAGGAAGATTAATCTAGAAAGTGTACAGTGACAATCCAGCTATGGAAAGAGTCATTAAGAAAATCAGTCCATTAGACCCTAATTTAACTGAAGAAGCCACTATCAGGTCTTCAACCTCTAAACAGTTGTTGTGTTGGGTGGCTTAGTCCATGAGAATGTGCATGAAAGACAGTCAATATATTCATCTCTTTTTTTGAGTGGAAAAGTTGAAGTGAGATGCTCTCAGAGTACATTCACACAAGCTCAGCTTCCCTGACAGATAGCCCTGCAGAAAACAGATAGCCTACCAAATCATGAGGCAGACTGTTCCTCTGACAAACAGCTCTTAACTAATATAAGTTTCTTCCATGGCTAAGCTGAATTGTGTTTCCTTTTAAATCTTCATGGACTGGATCTGGTCTTGCCTGAAGCCAAAGAGAATAAGGACATTCTATGTTTAACCTCTTAAAAGCTCGTCAAAATGTACCAACAGTGAGTGCGGTTTGCGACAAAACCTTTCTTTAATATAGCAAAGTGCACTGAAACAGATTTTCAGATCTTTAGGGAAGTACATGCACGTAGGGAGATTTGCCGTAATTGTTCTGTTATTTCCTATATTACTACTAAATCTGTGGTCAACTTTAGAAGACCAGGAAGTGAATGAAAAAAAATCCGTAAAACAGGAAGATAACTCTAATTTAGATATGCTGGTGTCAGTAATTCCCCTTTCTTCCCTTGATGATCTGAGTTTCATGAGAACAAACCCAAATGTTCATTTACCAAACACCTTCTGGGAGAGGCATATTTTGGAAATTGTGTGTGTGGTGAATTTTCAGACTTGGTGTCCCAGAATGCTTCTACCGGCCATGGTATTTTGGGAATCGTAGTCCAAAAAAGTAAACATACCTTCTCTGAGCTGTCTTAGCAACAGAAAGCATGAGGGTCAGCTGATGGAAAAACTGATGAGGAGGAAAGCTATGATGCTGCATGACAATGACGCCAAGTGGAAACTCTGGCTGCCGTAACACAGTTGATGTGGCCAGAGGCTAACAAGAATTTGCCCTCTAAACCCGGACAGGTGCAAACAGAGGAGAGAATGCCATCCCAAATTTCCCCAGGACTTATGCCCAAATTACTCTAGAGTTATGTTCTTCTCAAAAATTCTCCATCAAATCCTTGTGCTCAAGTCCAGCTGCCCCAGATATTCTAGACCCACTGTTTCCCCAAGGAATTCTGATGCTCATCTACGTATCTCTTTTTTTCTCCCTTTTGGGTGCATTCAGTTCCTTTCAATGCAGAAAACGCTTGGATGGATGGATGCATCTCAATTCAGAGAAGATAATCCGTGTACAGCAGCAAGAGCGAGAAAAGAGTTGCAGCGTTGCATCCAAGTATCACTTATTATTCTCAGATGCACAGAACAGTTTGGGGCCTCAGATTATTATAAGCCCCCATAGAATATATGCAATACTTTTCCAAAAATTGTTCTAAAGCAATATATATTTTGATGAAGCAATGGGGGCTCCCTCTGAAACTTGACCTAGTTTAGTTCCTCGTGGTGCCTTAATCTGGCCCTGATTACACAGATAAAACATCCAACCAAATTTGCAAATTTCATATTGGAATGCAGTCTCCCAGGCTATGGGTTAGATGGCAACCCAAACCTTCATTCGTGGCTATTTGGTATTTGGGGTTTTCCTATTTGGTATTAAAGGACTTCTGCATTTGCTTGATAGAGCCCTAAGGTGAATTGCTGAATAGCTCCATGGTTTAGATACCTACCTGCAGAGCCAGAGGTTGGGAATTCAATTCCTCCACTGGGCTTCTTCGACAGGGGTTGGACTTGATGATCCACAGGGGCCCTTCCAGCTCTGCAGTTCTAAGATTCTTTTTCTTATTAATTATTATTTTTATAAGGTCTTCTTTTAAATGTGCTCGGAGGAAGATCTATTTTCATATATTCAGAGGGACTCAGCCATGATTGAAAGCCCAACAAGAACAAAAAAAGTCAGACAAAATGCAAAACTCAGAGTTGGGCCAAAGGATTATTAGGATTAATTATGAATGTGCAATATACGCAAGATTGCAGATGCTCTGTAAGTTTTCCTGGGGCAGCATGGTTAAAAAAAGACCTGGAGGGGAGGGGGAGCATGGAAGTTGGAACACATGGCTGGGTATGATCCAAACTATGGCGAGTGTGGAATGAATTCCCAGATTGGAAGGTGAGGCTTCATGACTCAGGCAATTGTGCAATGGCCCATGACAGCTGGCAAAGACAACTGGGATGAAGTCACGATGGAGATTCGCCTTCTTTGCAAATATAACAGCAAGGGGAATAAAAAGCTGAGGGGAGTTTTTGCAACCTCGCAGGCTGCCTTCATAGGTTTGGTTGGGAGGGACCTTTCTGGGCTGGAGTGACTGTCAATCTATCCAATGCTAACCAATCGTTCCTTTCCTGCCTCTGAATTGAAAGAGAGTCCCGCCTCTCTGCTCAACTCTTTCCCCTCCCTCTTCAGTCTGTTTGAAGGAGTCAGTCCGCTGAGGCCTTTGTCGAGATGCATTCCCATTGGCTCAGTTTGCTGCTTGATCTGTTGATAACCGTAAGTAAAGAAAATGGCTTATGTTCTTTCTCTTACAAATGTCTCTCAGTGAGTTACAGAGACTGTAAATGCCAGTTGCTGAGAGAAAATGGATGGTCTCACCTGCTCACCCAGCTGCCCTTTGTACCATGAACAGGTGAAGGTGGCAGAGTTGGCCTCCCATAGCCTTTTTTTTTTTTTTTTGAGACGGCCTTGGTTGGGGTGGGTGGGGAACTCCCAGCCTCTGGCTCTGCAGCCAGAGACATAAACCACCAAGCCAGGAAGCAGAAACAAAGCAGCATAGCTTTCCCACAACCCCCCCCCCCCAAGAAAGATCCACATCACACTTGGTACTTTTACATATTGTCTTTTTAACGATGGAAGCCCCCTTAGGTCCTTTTAAGGAGAAACGTGAGACAGTAATCGCCACCGTCCAAGGAATGAGTGCTAACAGCAAATTTTGATTCTGCCAAGAAAAAGATGAAACTGTGTCACACCTCATCTGTGAATGTCCAAAGATTGCAGGGATTACAAAGCTAGACACGATAGTGTGGCAAAGTTAGTGCACTGGCCGTTATGCAAAAAATAGAACTTGCCAGCCTCCAAAAACCCATGGGAACATCAGATAGAGAAGGCGTCAGAACATGAGGAAGTCAAGATCTTGTGGGATTTCCAGATCCAAACGGACAGACGCCTTGAACATAAATGCACCGGACCTAGTAGTCATAGAAGGAAGAACTGTCCAGGTCATTGATATGGCAATTCCAGGGGATGCCACTGTTGAAAATGGAAAAACTAACCAAGGACAGAGACCTGGCCATTAAAATATCTCACCTCTGGAAGAAATACACTTTAGTGGTCCCCTAAAAATTGTAGTCACTGGGGATTTGGGAACAATATCAAGAAATTTCACACAGGGCTATAAGCAGTTGCAGATCTCAGAAACCACACCATCAGAGCTACAAAAAACCCGGCAATACTGTATTAGGAACAGCATGCATATGTAACAGATACTTAGGCTTTGGGTCAAACCTTGTATTTTTTTTTAAATACCATACCAATCCATGTTTTGACAGTTTTGATTGACTGTACCTGTTGTTTTGATCAACGACCACAACCACAACTTTGAGCGTTAGGGATCGGGATGAAACCCGCTAATAATTTATTTATTTATTTATTTATTTTCGGAAGTCTGCACGGTTCTTGGAGCAGCCTGCAAGCGTTAGGGATCGGGATGAAACCCGCTAATTTTTATTTATTTATTTATTTTTCGGAATTCTGCACGGTTCTTGGAGCAGCCTGCAGGGCAAGGCGGCCGATGGGAGGAGCTAACCCGAGAAGCCCCGCCCCGCTCGGCGGGCGTGGCGCAAAGGCGCGGGAGACGTCGCCCTGGGTGGGTAGGTTGGGGGTGTTTCTCCTCCCCGCTGTTGATTGGCTGGGCTTTTGCGGCCGGGGGTGTGGCCGCGCCTACGGGCAGTCCCTCCGCGAATGAAAGCCGGCGTCGAGTTACGAGCCATTTCATTCATTCGCTTGGGCAAAAAAAAAAAAAAAAAAAGAGGGTTCGCGCCTGGGCTTCGCCGCCGCCGCCAGGGAACGATCCGGTCCCGCTCGCGTTCGGATCCGGCGCTCTGGGTGTCTTTGGGGAGGGTCGGCCGGATTTGGGTTCTCCTCGCGTGGAAGGAGGGGGAAGGCGGAAAGAAGACGAAGGGCAAGCCGCACGGAGGGAATTTAAAATCATCATTAAAAAAAAAAAACACCAACAGACCAAACCGCTCCCAAGAAGATCTGGTATATATAGATATTCCCCCCCCCCATTTTTCCTTTCTTTTTTGCCAATGGCCAAAGGGGAAGGAGCGGAAAGCGTTTCATCGGCGGGACTTTTGCAACAAACGATCCTAAAACAAGAGGAATTTATCCGTCCCAAGGTAAGTAAGCAGACTTTTTTTTTAAAATGCAGTTTTTTGGAGGGGTGGGAAGAGACAGGCTGCCTCCTGCCAAACTTGGGGCGCAGAGAGAGGAGGAAGGCGCAAGAAAGGGTTGGAAGGGGGTGGGTCGCAACGGGATGGGATAAGGCTGAACCCTTCCGAGGAGTGGAGGATCGGGGCTCACACGTGCCGCGGATGATCAGGGCGCAATGACTCGGTCGGGATTTCTGGTGCTTTCCCCTACAAGAGAGGGAGAGAAGTCGATTCACCGCTTTGTTTTGGGGGAAAAGCGTGGGATGGGGCCCCAGGGCTGAATTCTGCCCCTCTTTCTCCCCCCCCCAATCCGGATCGCGGGGATTCGAATTCCGTCTCTGGATCGAGGCGGGGAAAGGGACGGAAGGAGAGCCTTCCTTATAAGGTTTCCCTTTCTAATTTGGGAGAGGGAGCCCCCCGGGCGGGACAGACCCTGCTTCGGAGGCCGGCTCGTGCGGGCCCGAGCCGCCTCCTCCTCAAGGTTAGCCCCGTCGGAGGGTGCCTTTCCCCGGGCGTAACGTGTGAACAGGGCCTAAAAGGCAGGGCGGTGAGACTGGGCGCGCCGGAGCCACGAGGAGCGGGGTTTGGAGACGTTACTCGGAAAGGAACGTGTCCAAGTTGCGTCTCGCCCCAAGATCGCAAGGTCTTGCAAGGCACCGTTCGTGGGAAAGCTGCGGGCGGGCTCTTGGCATCCCCACGATCGCTCCCTCTTCGAACAAGCCCCTCTGTAGGAAGGCCTGTGGGCTGCTCAAGTTCATTCATAAGAGGAAGGGCAAACTTTCTCTTAAAGGAGCCGCGACCCCTTGGGGGTGGGCGCGCCCTCCCCTCCCCTTGCAGACGCTCTCTGATTAAAGAGATCATGATCCTCTTTTTATTTGCCCTCCAAAAAAAAATAATAAAAATGAAGGCCCAGACTCTTAAAAGAACCGAGTTAAGTGAGTAACGTGTCCCTGGCAAGACATAACCAATGGGACCTGAGAAATCCCAGCCTCTGTGGTGTGGGCTGTTTTGCTGAGCCTTATGCCAGAACCTCCTGGGCGGCTTTGAGCCGCAAGACTCGTGTTCCCGGTCTCTAAAATGGGCACCTGGGAATGTAGGAAAGAGTCATCTGCCAGGATTCAGGAACGCATGCATGCAGGTGGGCTCAGAAAGAGAGAACAGGCTAGGCAAGGGCTGCAGAAATCAAGAGGATGATGGCTTTTGCCAGCCCCTGAGTTAAGGGAAGAGGAATTTCTTGAATGGAGCAGGTGCAAAACAGCGGGACCACTTGAGAAAGGCGAGGGGAGATTTAAAGACATCAAGGGATGTGTTCCAGATAGAATTGCAATAGAAAGTTTTTTAAAGCATGCTTTTCAATCTGTAGCGTTTAAAAAACAACCAGTGGCCCAGTTGTACTTTTTTCTCTTGAACTGAGATCTGTGCTTTGGGCTTGTATAGTTGGCCCGTTGGCTACAAAGGGTTAAAATGGGTCACTGGGCCTGCAGAGGGGCTGTGCATTTGCTTAAGTAACAACCCCTCTGGGGAGTGAAACACAGCGGGGTGGTGGGCAGGGGCTTATGAAATGCTTTGCTAGCTCATTCCAAAAAAACCTTGCAGCATCCCAGCGGAGAAGCTGAAAACCGTGCCCTGCTTGGCAACGGAACAGGGCATGAAGTTGGCCAAAATGTCCCAACCATGGGGATTGGCATTGAGGCCTGAAATGGACTCCTCAGTCCTGCTAGAATAGATTTTTTTTCTCCTGCCTGGACCCTAAAAAGGCCTGGAAAACTAGTTATTTCAGAAAGTCTCATGCCATGTCAGATGGGGAGAAGGGCCATTCTGGCTGCTGTAAGGACCTGCTTAGTGGCGTGCATTTTCTGGTCCAGAGCACACCAGTGCGGTTCCAGTACGTGTCTCTCTTTTATTCAGCCCCTCCCTCTTCTCTACGCCCTCCCACCCCAGTCACCAGTTCTGGGAAAGTCACTCCAGCTGTTCTCCCGTAAGGACAAACAGCTGTGCTGGCTCACTTAGCTGCTGTCATCGTATGTGCATACTGGAGTTTAAGCCCATTCATTGTCTACACATGCTAGTAGTGGTGATGGCATTGCTTCCCCTTTCTACTCCACCTTGCTAGTCTTTCCAGCATGTTTTGCTGAGCTTCTAGCCAACCTCCAAACCAAGCATCCCTTATGCCCTTCTCAACTCTCCCTTCTCAAGCCGAGATCCTGTACAGCCGGGCCGCCATGTGGAGTCTCGTACGCTAACTTTTTACCCAGTGACTGTACAGATTACAAGCCAGGAAGTGTGAGTTTGTTCCTGCTGCCTCTGCCCGCCCGTTCAGCGCTCACGTCTGCCAGGAATGGCTCAGTGCAATTGAAGACAGGGCGGTTGCAATGCTAAGAACTGCAGAAAGAAGGCAGAACTGCAGCGGAAGTAACTTGTCCGGCAGGTTATGGCTACCAAAATCTTCCCAGTGCAGCTGTAAAGGTTCAGGGGCCCCGTCCTTTTTACACCAGGTTGCTCATCTTTTGCTAAGCATTCATTTAAATAGGATGCAGGACTTTAATCAGTCTAAGGCAGAGGCAGGCAGAAAGCAGATCAGGATAGACCGGGAGATCTCTCTGTGATTTGGAGTAGATCTCCAGGAGATTGCAGCTCAGAAACACTTTAAGAAAAGCATTAATAAGCATAAGCTTGGGTGAGACTAGATGACCCTTAAAACTGGGCACTTTTAGGATTCTGATCTCTCAACCTCAGCACTCCAAGGATGTAAAATGGGAGAATTCCTTGAATACTTTAAGTGGCTTTTTATTCAGGTCGGTTGGGCTGTTTTAGAATATTTTGTTAGAAGGATCCCTTCTGTGAGCTAAATGTGTTGACTTCAACTTTCTGGGACACCATTTTATGTGCTGCTTGCTAGACTACAGAATTCTAGGGTTTGTTTGGTTTTTTTTAAAAGTATAACTATAATGGATCCCACGTATCTGAATTTAGTCAGCCCCCTACCCTTGCTCTGAAGTGTACATATATTGGCTGTACAGGTATTGCTGTTGCCATACATTTTTTTTCTGACTTAGTTTCAAGGCATGTGAGATGTTGAAGAAATATTTTGACCACACCTACATACACCCCAAGTGGGTTTCCATGGCCAAGTGGGGGTTTGAACCCAGGTCTCCTAGTCCGACACTCTATCCCGACACCACCCGGGTTCGTGTATATCCTCAAAAGTACATATGAAGTTCCTTGAGCGTACGGCCCTTTAAACAAGTGTGTTCAGGGTAGCACCTTTAAGATGGCAACAAGGATGTGAAAGCATACAGTAAATGTAATGAAAAGACTTATGATTCTTGCCAAGGAAAAATCTCTGAAGTAATTTAGTGTGTTTGTGGTGACACTTCTGAACCTGTAAGGTCCCCTTCGTGTGGTTCTGCACTGAGAGAAACCACCGGGTGTTCCTGCGGTTGATTTGGTATTCGCCTTGAAAGGTGCTACTGCTGTGTTTGAATCTAATCCTGGCAGGTAGTATTTTGAAGTTTGAAAGATTAATAATAATACAGCATCATCATCATCATCATCTTAGAACTGCACAGCTGGAAGTGACCCTATGTCTTATTAAGCTCAACCCCTGGCAAGGAGGCCCAGCCAGGAATCGAACTCCCAGCCTCTAAATCACTGGGCTATCTAGATAGTTAAATTTAGGGGGGAAAACGAAAGTAAGGAGTGGCTTCTGATTATAACTTTTACTCAGAATTCTTGAAACATTTATTACATTGTTATTTTCTTCTCTAAAGTTTTCAGAGCGGCACCTTTCCCCCCTTCCCATCTTTGACCGGTCCTCAAACAAACAAACAAAAAAGAACCCATGTGAGTTCATGATTAGAGCGCTGGGTTGCAGCTTGAGAGATCCATGTTCATGTTTTGATCGAGCCCCAAAAAACCCAGTGGGGGGGAACTTTTTCTCCCCTTGGCCTGCTTCTCAGATAAAGTAGGTCTAATGACAGCCATATCTTGGGGGGGGGGCTTATTGAGATAAAGGCAGGACAGAAATGTAGACTGTCAATTGTATAAAAACGCTTTTGACATCTCCAGGCAGGGCTGGAAATGACAGTGTACAAAACTCTGGACAGTCGCTGCCAGTCAATGCAAGTAATGCTGAACTAAATGGGCCAAAATCTTAATGGATTCTTAATGCATTCTCAGACCAAGTGTTCAGTCTAGGACAATGGAATAAGGTTAGCTGGATGAGGGCAGAGTATAGTACTTCCGCTTTCTTTTTTTAAAAGGTTATTCGTCAGGCCCATAGCAAAGGATTTTTACCAGGAAATGGTTCAAAAAGGCTACACGTTTAATAATGAGCATTCTAGTAGTTGGCATAGTCCAGGGCTTCCTAATGATACACTTTGTAGCCAGGAGAAAGGTTAAGTAAATATCCTACTGTCTGCAGAAGTTTTATACATTATACAAAAATATGTGTTTATGCTCTTTATGGTATGTCTGCTTCATCTTTTTTCGTACTAATGTGGAAATACTGCTACATTTAAGCTGTTAATTTAAGAGAGAATGTTGCACAGTATATAGATCAGAAGCAAAACTCCATCACTTGCTGGGCAGAAAGGTTTGTTTTGTAAAACAGAAAGGAAACTTTTTTTGTGTGTGTATAGCATCCTGTAATAGAATAACAGTGTTTCTAATTTCAAATGGTGTGGAAAAGGCAACGTGCCTCTGCTATCAGCATTCATGGAAAATGGTTCTTAAATTTTCCTCTGTCTGGCTTTCTTTACCTTTCCCGAAAAATTAGAGTATAAAAAGACTGCTCATGTTCCAGTTGGTTGGCAGGAAGGGTGTGCATTAAAACCATCACTTGCCCCTTCTTTTGATACATGGCCTTGCCACACACACAGCAAACAATCCACCCGCCTTGGGCAAGCTCCTATTGTCCTTATTCAATGCCGCCCATTGCCTGTTTGAAACGGAGCATTTGCGAACAGTGGGCTGAGTGAACCATTGCTACGAGGAAGTGGGACTAATAAATTTGTAGACTCAGATGTTCTTGGCTTGACACAGGGCAGATGTGGCTAGAATTCCTTGGAGGCTATCCAAAACTCTGCTCTTATTAAGGCGAGAAAGGGAAACTTAAAAGACAAAAACTAGTTTCCAAAATGGTGCTCTGCCGTGTGGGTCTTGGGGAAAGAGGAATGGCCGGCAATGACTTCCTGTTAACCCCGCTGTTTCTTCAAGACAGTGTTTTAGAGGAACTATCAAGAGAATGTTCAATATGGACTAGTTGCATATGTGACGCCACTGAATTGAATGCACAGATCTAGGCCACCCTTCCTCAGTCGGGCACCTGCCACATGTGGTGGGATTCAGCCCACATTATTCTTGCCCAGCATGACCAGTGGGCTGGCCCAACATCCTTTAAGAAAGATTCCACGTCTCTATGAGAGATTCTGTAGGAGAGCATGAAACCTGCTTTTCATGTGGAAAAGCAGGTTTCTGTCATTCAAACATCCTTTAAGAAAGATTCCACGTCTCTACGAGAGATTCTGTAGGAGAGTTTGAGACTTTTCATGTGGAAAAGAGGGTTTCTGTCATTCAGCTGTGCCACCCTCTATCATAAGATAGTATTTTTTTCACTCTCATGTTACCCATCCTGCCCCCCTCCCATGGGAGAGGTGCCACCCTCTATCATAAGATAGTATTTTCTTTTCACTCCCATGTTATCCATCCTCCCCCCCCCTCCCATGGGAGAGAAGTGCCTTCTCTGTGACTGCTCCCAGACTGTGGAACTCCCTCCCACTGGAGGCCAGCCTGGCCCCATCTTTGCTGTCCTTCTGCAAGCAGGAGAAGAAGACCTTTCTCTTCAGGCAGGCTTTTCTTGAGAGTCTGAGAGGGGTTTTCAAACTGGATTGTTGTGCCCTGTTGCTTTTAAATGTGTTTTAAGTGTTGCTTTCATTTACCATTTTTAATATGCTACTTGTTAATACTTTTAAAATATTTATATACTTATGGTTTTTAGCTTTTATATATTGCCCTTTTAATGATAGAAGCCGCCTTGCATCCTTTTAAGGACCAAGGTGGGGTGAAAATATTTTACATAAAGAATAAATAAATCAGCACCATTTCCTGGCCTTTGCTTCACAGTTGCTGATTTGACAGTCTTCTACCATTGGCTGTGGTGTCTGGGGATAATGGAAATGGAAGTACAAAAGAATCTGTAAGGGTCTAGGGTTGCTCATCTCTGAGCAGGAGGATTTGAACTAGAAGTGACCTTTCTTTGTTTTAGTTCTCAGCGTTCAGCCCCTGAAGGTATGGAGTAAAAGAGCTGTTTTTCATTTCCCATCTTAATAGCGGTGTCATAAATGTGAAACAATTTCTCCTCTGGACAAGGAATAGCTGGGATCCATGTTATCCAAATTACTTCCTTTTTCCATTGGTGTACGGATGAGGGAGAACGACATTCTCTGGTTGTTGTTGTTTTACGCCTGTGTGTGTCTTCACCTTCCTTGTCACCGCAATTTATGGGTTTGTTCGTGTGTTTCCTCTTCCCCGCTGCCCCACTCCGCTTTTTTTCCAGAGAGAAAGCAAAGAGAAGCTGTCAATATGCAGCAAAGTCTGTTATGCCATCGGTGGAGCACCCTACCAGGTCACAGGATGTGCGCTGGGGTTCTTTCTGCAGATCTACTTGCTGGATGTGGCCCAGGTCAGTCTGTGGGTTTGCTGTGGGGAGAAATGAGGAGTGGTTGCAAACAGTTCATTGCTGGGGGGTTTTCTGCCGCCTTGTCCACCGAAGAGTACACAGGGTGGCTAACACAAGAAAACAACCAATTAAAAACAAGGCAAGCTTGATTAAAACATACCTTAAAAAGCAAAGTATGCTGCTTATATACCACCCCATACAGCTTAAAGCACTCTCTAAGCAGTTTATAGTTTAGTCATGCAGGCTACACATCGCACACCCTAATCCCACCCCAGAAAGCTAGGAATTCGCCAACCTTCGAAGGCTGGAAGACTGAGTGAACTCCAAGCCAGCTACCTGGGATAGAACCTGGGTTGTGAGCAGAGTTTCGGCTGCAGTACAGTGGTACCTCGCAAGATGACGCCCCCGCTGAATGATAAATCCACATTACGATGACTTTTTGCGATCGCTATAGCGATTTGCAAAACAGTCATTCCAATGGGCGATTTTCACTTAACAACGATTTGGTCCGTGCTTCGCGAACCATTTGTTCGCAAGATGACGATCTTTTTCCGCTCCACAAAATGGCTGCCCTGTGTTTTCCAGACCCATGCTTCGCTGGGCAGCCATTTTTACAGCTGATCGGTGCTCGCAAAATGGCTTCCCTATGGGCGATCTTTGCTGGACGATGAGGTATTGTCCCCATTGGAACGCATTAAACCGGGTTTCAATGCATTCTAATGGGGAAACTGATTTTGCATGACAACAATTTCGCTTAACAGCGATTTCCCTGGAATGGATTATCGTCGTCATGTGGGGCACCACTGCACTGCGGTTTAACCACTGTGCTATGAAGCCCCTTGAGAAATGCATTAAAAACTCAAATAGAAGATATAGCCAGCACCCAGTCCATGTGATCCCTGTCAGCAGTAGGTCAGCTTAGATGCCCACAACTCAGGCTAAATAAAGAAGCCTTCGTTTCTGATAACAGAGAGGAGCTAAAGGAGCTTCACTTGTCAGGGAGTTCCAGAATCTGACAGTAGCCGCTGAAAAGGCAAACGTGTTTAAATAATTGTGCTGGATCCAACCTGAGAGAAATCTGTTCTCTTTGCTGCTTTCTGATTGGTGACATTTTTCTCAAAGATTTTGAACCAAAGTCTAGGATCGAATTAACCTCTGTACAAAATATCCCGCACATTAAAACACACACACGCATGGCTGGGATGGGACTGCTCAGAATCATGCAGTGGGCTTGGAAGAGGATTTTCAAAGCCTTCACTCAGCTGCTCCAATTGAACAGGCTCTCCTCTTTCTCTTGACAGTTGGACCCTTTCTATGCCTCCATCATCCTTTTTGTTGGCCGAGCGTGGGATGCCGTTACGGATCCGCTGGTGGGGTTCTTCATTAGCAAAACGAGATGGAGTCGCTTAGGACGTCTGATGCCCTGGTAAGTTTCCCTTCCGGAAAGCCACAGAATAACAGAGGGTCCAGGGTGATCATGAGATGGGTCTGAATGGAACAAAGTCTCCCAGAGGCTAAGGATGTTCCGTGGCTCGCTGGATCAGTGCATTTCAGGAATCGAGATAGTTCCTATCAATGGATCTCGGTCCAGAATGATGGTTCCTGGTCCCACCAGAGTAGTATAGAATGCTACCTTTTACATTGTTTTCCTACAAGGAGAGGTTGGGGGACAGGAACATCAGGAACAAATGGCAATTTTGGGCCACAGGTAGCTTGTTCTTAGTGTTGATTGAAGTAAGATCATCCCATGATGCTCATGGGCCGGTCTCTGTATGTAAGTTACTTTGGCTGTATCACCCTGCAAATTGTTTGCTGGTTCTAAGCTATAAAGTTCTAAATGGCTTAGGCCCAAGCTGTCTCATAGAGATGCGGTCCTATGAGTCTGCCCAGGCTTTAAGATAATCAAGGAAGGTTATTTTCTCAGTCATGACACCTTCATAGGTGTGTTTGGTGGGTACACAGGAAAGGGCCTTCTCTGTTTCCGCCCCCAGACTTTGGAACTCCCTCCCACTGGAGGCCAGGCGGCCCATCTTTGCTATCCTTCCGCAAGCAGGCAAAGACCTTCCTCTACAGGCAGGCTTTCCCTTAGTGACCGGCTACCTGAGTGAGGTCTTTAAATTGATGATTGTGCCTTACTGCTTTGAAGCACTTTGGTGTTGCTTTTGTTTGCTGTTTTTTAGTGTGGTGTTTGTTTGATCCTTTTTAGTGTATGTATAATCACTGTTGTTGGCTTTAAATACTGTCTTTAGCTGTCTTGGGTCCTTTTTCAGGAGAAAGATGGGATAAAATATTTTAAATAAATAAATAAACTGTTCATGTTTTGGTTTGTTGGTTCCATCTAGTACAGAAGGGAGCCAACTGTATTTGAACTTAGCAAGGCCTCCACAGCAGGTATAAGAAATAGTCTTTGCAGACTCTCAGTTAAGGTCTAATGGAGCCTTGGGCTGCCATCACACCGGCAATAAGAACTGCCTTTAAGCATTATTTAAATTGATGTATATTTTATCATTCACACGTTGCAATGATGAAATCAATTTATATGGGCTACAATGCTAGTTTTTTTTTTCAACTGGCCGTCAGAGGCTTCCTAAAATACTTTGTTTTTAAAATCAAATCAGTTCATTGTGGTTTCGTGAAAATGAGTCAATTTCAGCTGCGCAGGCACCAAAACTGGTTTGAATCACCAGAAATAAATCAATTTCCATTCCATAGCCACTGGTTGAAATACTACATGACCAAAACTGGTTTGAATCACCAGAAATAAATCGATTTCCACTCCATAGCCACTGGCTGAAATACCACATGACCTGAACCTGAAGTCTGAACAGAAATGGGTTCAAATTGCCAGGGGGACCACAGCCTTGTCATCTGGAAAAGCTTCCGTTTTCTTTATCCCAAACATGATGCTCAGAACCTAAAAGGGGGCAGGTCAGCTACGGCTAAAATACAGAGGACGGTTACACAGAGAGGATTTGACCAAAGAGAAATTACAGACAACCCTCTGCTTTTAGGTTTGATTATACCCTCTACTCTGTCCTTTAGGTTTTCTTAAAAGGACCGGATGAAGGCCACTGACTGTTCTTTTGGCTTCTGTTGGTTAAAACCCAGGCCTCGTAGAACAGACCCCAAACATACACACACACAAACAGCAGTACAGACTTCTTGGCTTTTTTGCTTTGTGGAATCTACAGAATTAGAAAAACGGCTGGGCTTCTGCCCCACTTCCACAATGAATGGACCCATTTGGGTCCAATCCAGCCGTGCTTGGCAGGAGCGAGGTGCACTTCTTTGGTGCCTAGGAGAGAAAACTAGGACATGTAACCTAATCTCCTGCAATGTGAAATATTCTCTCTCTCTATCTCTCATGCACACACACACCTAAATTGTGCCTTAATTTCTTGAGCACCTGAAAACCCACTCTTGGGTTATGTGCTTGTGATGAGTAGCTAGCACAGGAGGGCAAGCTACAGCTTCCAAAAACATTACTCTGAGCCCCACCCCCATAGGGTAGAATGGAAGAGTTACCCCTTCCAACTGCCTCATCTGCTCTTCAGATATTTCCACACAGGCACACATCTTTAAATCTACATTCTAATCTTAGTTTTAGTGTCTATCTCTTGATCGTAATTAAGGAAAACAAAATGTTATTATGGTGGTGGAATTTTTCCTTTCCTATTCAATTTCCCACTCCCACACCCTTTTCTTTCCGTACATTTCTTCCCATTTAGAATCTTGTGTAAAAGCTCCCCCCCCCAGTTAAAAATGATGGTCATTTTTTAAATGAATGTTTTACACATTTGGTCACTGTTTGTAACACATGTGATATATGTTAGAAGATGACCCAGTTGAACTATTTGTAGGGGTGGAGGGAAAGAGATACATGTTGGTGATGAGAAACTGCAGTGTTCTTGAAAGATTTCCACTGTTATAAGGTTGATTAAGATATACTGAATCATGGATAGCTATTACTCAGCCTGATACACAGTGTGGTGTAGTGGATAGAACGATAGGAGGCCGAAGTTCAAATCTACGCTCAGCCATAGGAACTGGGGTGTGGGTGGGTGGGGGAACTGGTGAAACCGCACCTTAAATGTCTCACTTACTTTGAAAGCCCTGTTAGGGTCACTTTAAGTCGGTTAGTACTTGACAGCACATAACATTAGGCAGTCTACTGTTTGTAAAACAGGTAGGACTACTTCCTGTTTGTAAAACAGGTGTGATAAATCTCCCCCACCCCAGCACAGGTACTTATGCTTACACGTCAAGGGTTGCGAGGAAATCGCTACGGCTGTTTGAACGCGATCATGCATATGCATCAGTCATTGTGCCTGTACCCTTCAGGAAATCTATTGTTAGGTGGGCTGGTTGTGAAACAGAGCGCCTTTCTCCACTGTGATGCTGAGCGCCTCTAGGCTACAGTCAAGAAACCGAACGGTGACTTGTCTTGGTAATGCACACCTTCTGAGTTACTGCATTTAGGAAGTATAGCCAGTGGTGCACCAGAACACAGACTTGTGGGGTTTAATCATCATCTGCCACCCTCTCTTGAAGCTGCCCAGTTCTCTCTGAGCATAACTAGAGTCCCTGCAGTCGCCAAGAGAGAAATGGATGTTCCCAAATACAGTGCATTGTTTCAATCCATCCATGTTATAATGACAAACCATTTCAAGGTGGCTTGGTCTCGCTTGGATGGTTAAGAGGCATTAGCTTTACAAAAGACCTGCCCCTCATTTCTTCCTACGGACTGATTCAGCCACCTACATTCTTGGACTCTCTTTATGGGGGCGGAGGCTGGATGTTGGGATGGTACCATGAGCATTTGAGCTTCTAGATTTAGCACTGCATCACTAGGCACAGCTGGGGCCGATGTACAAGGTGTGTTGCTGTTGTGAAGGTTTTTGTAGCAGTCTGATGGAGGCGTTTGTGTGAGTTTTTAAGTTTACTGAAACCCACTAGGTCTCCCTCACTTTATGGCCAGTGAGTGGCAAAGTTGCATCCTGTGAAAAGTATTGGAGACCTAGAATAGCAAGCAGTCTTGGCCCAGAGCCGCGAAGGGTTTCTGATGCAAGAACCCCCTTGAGTGGATGACTTACAGGGTCATGTCCTGACCACACTGAGTCAGCTTGCATCTTTCTAAAACTGCCCCCTTCTCTGGGCACATCTCTCCTGTCAGTGCAGAGCTGGCCCGTAATACTGCTCAGCACTTGCTAATCTTTACTCAGAAGCAAAACCCCGCTATGTTCAGTAGGGCTTACTCACAGGTAGGAAAAGGGGGGGGGAAGCTACTCTTTCAGTCCATCAGTCCCAAATTCCACCAGATGGATTCAGACCTTTGCTCCTAAAGACACCTATGTACGCTTGCATCCTGATCTGTATAACTGCACACAATTTCTGTATTTGCACCCTTGCTCGTTTGGTTGCAGTGAAGTTCAGAATATATCCTGAAGAAATCAGAAGTTCCTCGGTGAGAAAATAAGTAACAGCAGATGCCCATTCCTGAAATATTGCATTGTCTTTCCTCTCCATTATACAGTCACAAGGGAAGTATTTTGGTACAACGAAGAAGGAAGTTTACTTGGTTTGCATTTTAGTGCAAACAGGCCAGATTTCACTCTTTTGAACCCACAGACTCAGTTATTCTTTGGAATTCCCCACCAAATTTTGCAGTGGAATTCAGCAAGGAAAAAAGCCCCCCTCTGGTGGATAATGATGAAAAATATGACAGAAATATTAACATTGTATCAGGACATTTGCTTTGCAGGACTCTGCTTGCCAAAATTACCAGTGAAAAGTAATTGTACCGTGACAAATAGGCATGAAAAAGGCATGCAAAATGTTCGTGCAATCTTTGAACAAAACTCTTCCAGTTTGGGACAAATGGAATTTAAGGTTGAAAAATGAACTATGGAGAGGAAACAATATTAGTTGATTTGTTTGTCTCTCTAAGAGGTACACTTGATTCAGACAAAATAATACTAGCCAATACACCTCGGCAGTATTCTCCCTGTGAACTCAGAATGGGTGACTCAAAATGTACCCCTGAATATTATTTGCAGAATGCAAGGTTCTATATGATAGATGATTGACCACTTTTCTGTAGATGAGTCTATGCTAAAAAGTGTCCCTGAGTGGGAGACACTTTTAGTAAGATAGTCTTATTAGAGCAGAAGAGCTTCCATGTTGCAACACAGCAACAAAATTCAACTTTCAGCATCTGCATTTCAGTCATGCAACCTATTTCTCCTTGCCTCCCCTGAAGCTTCTCTCTCATTATAATGTTTTCAAGTGCTAACCATTCAGAAGTGGTTTGCTGCTTTCTCCTTCCAAAGGCTAGAAAAAGTAGAAGGCAGTAGAAGGAGGCTGAAGTGCAATGCATTGACCCAGTAAAAGAAACCATGACTTTTAGATTGGGAAAGATGAGCAGGGCTGTTAATGATGGGGCCTTTCGGAGGTCCCTAGTTCACAGGGTCTTCATAAGTCCCAAGCGATGAGATGTTTCATTCTAATCTGAAGCTAATGTTAAAAATCGGCTTTCTTTCGCCCAAGAGCATGGCTGATGACAGGAACCTCTGTTGCTCAGGCTGAGGAAATAGTTAAGGCCAGCGAAGCTGTGCAGAGAGAGGAGGTGCCAGGGAACGCACCATCCGGCTCAGCCAATGAAGAGCCAGGGCGTGCACGCCAGGCGAGCTGTCTAGCCTGTTTAAAATATCTACAGATCACCACGCCTGCTTGCCTCCGGTCGGAGGTTACTAAAAGTCAAGCTGCTGGGAGAATCAGCCCCTCCTGGGGATGATGGCTGAGCTGCCGGGGCAGTCTTGAACCCTGCATTGCTTTCTTTCTCTCTCTCTCACACACACACTCACTCATTCACTCACACACACACACACACACACTCACTCATTCACACACACACACACACACAGAGCCAATTGACAGAAGTCATCTTAGAGAGGGATCTCCCTCCCCCCCCCATACACACAAAGTCAGAGAAAATTTCCGAATTTTCAAAGGTGCAAAGATTTTCGGTAGAAAAAGGGGAAGGACTCGAATGAAAGACAGTTTATGGAAACACATGAGTAACCAGAAACTACAGTGTGTCCCAGGAATGTCTATGAGGAAAGGCGCATGTGTTCTATTTAGGAGGAGCATCTGAGCATCTGTGATTTCCCCGGTTTTCTGAGACACATCATCGTTGCTGCCCACGTCATGGGACATGACTCATGGAGTGAACAATGTCCACGTGTCTTATCGAAATAAGACCCGTTCTCTGTGCCCTCCCCTTTTCTGCTTCACCTTCACACACCCCTCGTGTGCAGGATGCAGAGTTCTTGCGTCCTCCCAGGAGATCAGTTTAACTTTTTGCCATTTGGCTGCAGTCCAGAAAGAGACACAACCTTTTCTTGTCCTCTGGAAGAGTTTCTGGAATCCCCTCCGTCTCCCCCTCCCAACTTCATATTTGGCAGAGCGAGCATGCATGGCGCCTTTATTCGCAGCCATGATGTGCTGCGAATTGAAAGGTAACCGCAGTCTTTGCCTGCAAGGAGATGACAGCCTTTAAGATAAGGCAGCTCCTGCTTTGTGGCTGTGGTCTTTTCCCATGGGATTAGCACAGCACAGGAGCGGCTGATCAAATAGTCCAGGGCCAAGTGTAACAGGTTCTAGCGTTGCAACGAACTCTAGTTTGGTGGCCACCATGAGCCGTGCGGCATCTTAGAAGTGTAACAAAGGGCACGACCGGGTAGGGAAAGCTGAAGGGATCCGGTCCATGCTTTAAAGGTGGTTCCTCTCTGTGGTGCAATCTATTTCATTTCACACCCGAGCGATCCTTCCATTCGTAAGGAGAGGTCCCTTCTCCCGTGAGAAACATCCAGAAAAGCTCTTTGGATCGGTCCCCATTTCAGTTACTGATGCCCCCATCCCCACCCCGTCTCAGGGATATGTCATTTAGAAAATTGTCTATGAAAGAAATCCCTCCTCCCCTTCGGCTCTGATACGGCCGAGGGTGCTGGTGGAATGGTGGGGCCCACAATATCAGCCGCAGTAGAAGTAATTACATATGTGTGTAAGACAGCTTCATGGTTCTAGGTGTCTGGCAGCGGTGCCAGAAGTTGTGAGTTCAGTTCCTCATTGGGCTTTCCAGAATAGCCAGCCTGGGAGGCCTGGGGCCAGCTGCACAGTCCCAGGGTCGCCCCCTAGAGGAAGTGAATGGAAAACCAATTCTGAATACAGTAGGACTCCCATATCCACGAAGGAATAGTTCTAACACCCACCCACCCCCAGTGGCAGGTGAAAAACATGAATTATTCGAAGTGCTATATACACAGCATGATTTCTGGCCCTCTCTGATCTCCAGTTCTGGTAACGTCTTATTCAACCCCCAGAAGAAGGGAATGATAAACCACTTCTAAATAAGCTGTACCTGGAAAACCCTGAAAAGGATTGTCAGAGGTCAGAATGGACTTGAGGGTGCACAATTATTATTATTAAAATGTTTCCATAGGAAGAGCAGAAGGGAGGTGGGGTCTCATCCTTTGCCTCAGGCAGCAAATCTTTGGGGTCAGTGCCTGTCCTTCGCCTCCTTCCTGAGGATGCTTGGCATGTCCCCAGCTGAAATGCCTTCCAGATGCCTCTGTTACTGAAACGCAAGGGATCTGTTTTTCTGCCTTGGGCTGTTTCAGAAAGGCTTCAAAGAAGAGGAGAGCCCTCGCTGTGGTCCTGATTCTCAAACCGGTGACCTGCGGCAAATTCTGGGTTGTCAGAAACAGCCATCGCTGTGATCCTGCATGGGAAAGATACGCCCAAAGAAAGCTAGTCATGCTCTCTCCCTTTTGGGTGGAACCGTGATGCTTAAGTTCCTGCTTCTTTGGCGCGGGCAATATGCCCCCTTTCCCACCCACCCCCGCCTTCCTCCTCCTCCAAGAGCCGACAAACCACCTTGGCAACCCCTTTCCTTGTCGCTCACAACCGGGTTTTTCAACTCAGCAGGCCCTCTCTTGCGGCTTCATTGAGGGGGACTTGGTCCCTGTGATCAAAGCTGTCCTCTGTTTAAAACACACACAAAAATGCTACTTAGCTCTTTATGCTTTCTGGAACCTTGCCTGTTTTTCTCCCGCCCAGCTCTGATGGGCCTGGAATGGTAAAATGTGCGCCGGCTGGAAGCTGAAGGTCATTCGATCGTTTGCAAATGGAATGTGGGAGGTTGTCGGAAGGGGGAGGCACCCCAACTGATGCCTTGGAGAGAATAACAATAATGCTTGGCAAGGCTTCCCATAACCTCCAGAGCTCAGAAAAGTTACTTTTTGGAGTTATGACTATTTCCTTCCTTCAAATCATCATCATCATCATGTGCTATCAAGTCAGTTCTGACTTACGGTGACATTTTGCAGGTGGAAATTAATCGGAAATGGGCTACCTTTCCCTTCTTCCGGGGGCATTTTCTGGGACTGTGCAGTTGTCCCAAGGCCACCAAGGCTGGCTTTTCTCCCAAGAGGCCCAGTGGGGAATTGAACTCCCAACCTCTGGCCCCATAC